TACCAGTCAGAATGGCCATCGCTAAAAAGTCCACAAACAATGGGGAAAATGATGGAGTCCTACACTGCTGGTGGGACTGTAACTTGGTGCAGCCGTTATGGAAAACAGTATGGAGGTTCCTTAAAAAACTGAAAATAGAGTTACCACATGATCCAGCAATCCCACTCCCAGGCATATATCCGGAGGGAACTCTTAATTCGAAGATACATGCACCCCAATGTTCATCACAGCACTATATACAATAGCCAAGATATCAAAACAACCTAAATCGACAGATGATTTGATAACAATGTGGTATATATCTACAATGGAATACTACTCAGCCACAAAAAAGAATGAAATAATGCAGCAACATGGATGGACCCAGAGATTATCATTCTAAATGAAGCAAGCCAAAAAGAGAAATAAAAATATCATGTAATATCACTTATATGTGGACTCAAAAAAAAAAACAACCAGACACAAATGAAGTTATTTATGAAAAAGAAACAGACTCACAGACATAGAAAACAGACTTATGGTTCCCCGGGGGAAAAGAGGGTAGGAAGGGATAGCTTAGGAGCTCGAAATTGCAAATGCTAACTACTATATATATAAAACAAACAACAAGGTTCTACTGTATAGCACAGGGAACTATATTCAATATCCTATAGTGACCTATAGTGAAAAAATATGAAAAGGAATATATGTATGAATATGTATGGCTGAAACATTAGCTGTACAACAGAAATTGACACAATATTGTAAACTGACTATACTTCAATAAAAAAATTTTAAAAAGAGAGAGATACTGAGGAAGCCAAATGCTGAGTTCATGTAGTATTTCATAAAGAGAAAATCAAAAACTTTTGAAAAGGAAAAAAATTAAAGATCTATAGCTTATGCTAAACATTTTAAATTAATTACACATTTTCAATTTTTGCCTCATAACTGGGTTCTGAAATCCTGCTTTAAGTTCAAATAGAAAACACATGTATGTATTCATGCTATTCTGTGGAAAGAGACGGTATGTGATTTTTAAATTTTTATTTGTGGTCTAATTTCCCCAATTTTGCAAACAGCATCCTGGAGTCATTTTGAGATGAGTTTTCCTTGTAATGCTCAAAATCCTAATGACTGTTCTCGTCTTTATTGTTAGACCACTGATGTTCCTGGTAGGCTAGTATAATTTCACCATAGTTTGAGTGTATTTACTGGAAACTGAGGTTATTGTTTCTCTTAAACCTAATCATGTCTTCATCTGACAAAACTTTCCATTTAAAGTCAGATTTCAGAATATTATTGCCAAGAATAGTTTTGTTTCTATGGACAACACATAGAAGAAAAATAATAAAAAAAAAAAAGGCTAAGGAAAGTGCTTTCCCTGGGCTAGGAATAAAGACATTCCAAAACATCTGGCACGGATCATGTAACTTCATTTGAATTTTAGTTCATTTGGATTCTTGCAGCAATTTCCCCCTCACAACCACTAGACCAAATATGGAATGTCTGATTCCCTTCGGCTTTAGTTGTTTTGGTACCAAACAGTCCCCAGAGCAAGGTGATCACCCTAACAGTAGGTGGGATCTTCCTCCCCCACTCAGGCTCTAACTTTGCCTGATTGTCTTTGGGTCCTTATTGCCTGGCTTTGTGGCGGACACACAGCGGGCACTCCATAAATGTAAACTGAAGCAGTGAAGGAAGCAACAGTGAAACAGGAGGCCTGTCCTAAACAGTTTTAGTAACAGTGCTCAACGAGGTCACCCCTGGCCGGCTAGCACGTGCACCCCGTTATCTTGAAGTTGCTCAGATAACTGCGGGGAGCCAGCACGTCATCCAGACAGTCAAAATTAAATTGGCCCTCCCCGTTTCAAGCCATACTGTGGCTATCTGACTTCTGAACAGCATCACATTGAAAAGGTAACTGAAACTGAAGATATAATTTATCTTAAGTACTTTTTGGGCTCTGTAGGTCTCACCCTGGAAACTAACTCAGGAAAATCTACTGATCTTTTCCCAGATCGCCCATCCACTCTGCAAGCTCAGGGCTCGCAGGAGAATCTGATTCATGAAAGACCATGACTTTGAAGAATCATCCCTGAAATACTATTTTGGTAACAATTAAGTTAGAAAATAAGTGCAACATTTAACAAATAAAATTGTACAATGTTACCGAGTTTTAAGGTAGCAGTAACTGGTCTCAGGAAAAACAAAGACTAAAATTCCAAAGGTCAGAAAAGTCTGCAGTAACTCTCCTAACTGTGGAATCAGAGCATACATTCAAACCTGCAAATGCATCTGTGGTTACTTCTTACCTTAAATACATTGATAGGGAGATCAATGACCACATAGATAAGGTCTCCAAGGGCAAGGCTGGCTATCAGCGCGTTGGGGCCATTCCTCATACACTTGTTCTGGTAAATGATCCTGAGCAGGGTCGCATTCCCCACCATTCCCACGATGAAAATAGTACATGATATCACAGTGTTAATGTATTTGAAAGCGGAAGTAATCTTAGTCTGCTGTGGGCAATAGTTGTGCATGGAACTGTTGCTAGGGAGGGCCAGATTTGTGGGTCGATGAGTGGTGACCACGAAGCTGAGTTCTGTCCCACGAAAAGTGGTGAAATCGTCCACGTGCGTACTGAGATTGGTGCTGTAGCTCTCAGGATTATCACCGATTACACATCCAACCAGCGCCACCCAAAAGGACAGCCTGAGGCAAAAGGTTTCCATCTTGATGCACATTTGAGGAAATGTCTCTTACTATGTTGCTCTTACACCCTCCTTTTTTTTTTGTTTTACCACCTGGGAAAAGAAAGGAGGAAAAATCATTTTGGTTATTAAAATCCAGCTGCCAGTAAGATTGTAGTCAATGATAATTACTGCTTCAATTAAAAGGCAGGATGTATTTGGTAATTAGATAAGATATATCTGTGTCAGGTTACCCCATGGCAGAACAAAACCAGGCAAGATCAAAGCTCTATTAGGGCAAGTTATAGCTCTATTTCGATTTCTGTCTCTGTCTATCTCATCACTATACTTACATCTAGATTATAATATGGATAAGGATGTGTCAGCTTTTCCTTCAAGTAGTAGATAAAAAGTTACTTTTTTCTCGATGTTACACTTAGGCTGATAACCTGAATTACAGAAACGCTTCAAGAGTTGAGACACAATATTTTATTTATTAATGGAAGAGAAAAGACATTATATGCTGAGTGAAAGTTATATAGTATTAAGACATAAAATCACCAAATTCTGTAATTAACAGTTCAGTATTGCAACACATGTACTGTCTTGCACATGGTAATTAAGGAGCATGGGAATAAAATGCAGCACAGGTAGCCATTTAAAAGTGTTATAAAATGTGAATTTAAAATCAGAACTCTGGTTAAAATTTGGGGGTGTTGGAAGGCTACATTGGGAGTTCAGGATTTGCAGATACTAACTACTATACATAAAATAGATAAACAACAAGAACCAGGGAACTATATCCAGTACCTTGTAACAGCCTATAATGAAAAAGAATATGTATATGTATAGCTGAATCACTAGGCAGTACACCAGAAACTAACACAGCATTGTAAACCAACTATACTGCAATAACAAAAAAAATTTTTTTAAATTAAATAACTTGGAAAATAAAAGAAAAAAAATCATAACTTTAACATCATTAACATTTAACAGTCTTAGTCAATTAAAAATGATATGATTGGTAAAGACAAAATATTTATTTTTTGAAAATCTGGATGATTAATGTGCACGAGCTACATCTTCTGATAGTTTCCAATAGGAGTTTTTTGCTTTTCCATTTGTCAGAAATTATTGTCAGGATATTTGCCAATGAGTGAAACTAGGAGTAGTGGACTTTCCCAGGCCAGGCGTACTATTTGGTTTTTCTAAGGACTATCGATCCCATGCTCTCTTTTAAGCATCTTTTATAGCTACGTTGATTATGACTAGTGACTGTGCTGAGCACTTCACATGCATGATGCCATCTAATCCATACAATGACCCTGTGAAGCAGATACTTGGCTCCATTATAAACACAGAGAAACAGGTTCAGGAAGGTCAGGTAGCTTGTTGAGGCCGCAGGTGGTGGTGGCCCTGCTGTGATTTGAGGAAGGCAGGTTAGCCTGACTCTGAACCCGAGCTCTTAACCACTAGACCATACTCGCTTTCTTGCACCTGAAGTGTTTTAACAATATCTACAGATTTCTGAAGAAGCAATAGACTTGGGAGGGTGGTTAGACATTTTCAAAAGATCGTTTGGTTTTTTTGACTTGTTTTGTTTTGTTTTAGTCACTTGCAGAGAGCAAGTGGTCCTTCTTGTCCAGAAAGTCTAGGTTTCTATTTTAATCCTTAAATAAAAGCTGCTGGGAAAATGAGGGAGGTTGGCAGTAACACAATAATCAAAGGTAAATAAAAATGGTTCTTCTCATTTTAATACTTTATATATTTTCTTTTCTGTGAGTTTTTGTGAACCTTTCAATGAAGGTCATCAGCTCATTTATGATATAGTGTGTGTGTATGATGAATACACCCAGGTCATAATTCAAGTTTTAAGAATTATGTCCTTTTTAGTCTATTCACGATTGATAATCACTTTTCAGAATTTTGATAATTATCTTGGTTATCAGTAAAACTTCGGGCTTAGTCCATATATGGATGAAAGATGATTTATTCAAGTTGTATAGAAAGTCTAAAGTAAATATAAGGTGCAAATACTGCAGACTTTTGCTTTCCCCAGAGATTTTCCCCAGGAACCTGAATTAATAATAACATTTTACATATAGTAGTAACTTATTATATATGTATTTGTTATCTGACCTGAGATTTACAACTTTAGGTAGTCAGGGGGCAATATCCCCATTCACTCATGAGGAAACTGAAGCTTGAAGAAGTTAAGTCATGTTTTTGTGGCCAAGAAGTGGCAGGACAGGTATAATGCCTCACTTTACTTGGCTCATGGGACTCGATTCAGTCTGATTAAATGATTAAAATCTCAGTTTTTCTAAGTTCAGGGCATCCTGGGTATACACTTCTGCCTAGACTTACTTATAAGTAGTTTTTTCCCACTTTTTACAGTTTGGAGTATCTGACCAAATATTAGTAGACCTACGAAATGACACTATTTCCATTCTGCAGTGGAGACCAGGGCTCTAAGAACAAAGCATACTCTAATTCTTCTGTTGAGGTCAGAGATGGAAAAAAGGAAATCTTTCAATATCTTGGGCTGTTTAATGACTGAAGCTTCCTAGTTTCCGCTGAGAATGAACCTTCAGAAGTAGTTTTTTTTTTCATAAGAAATAAGAGAGAGATGGCCTTTTCCAGAAATGAGATGGCTCTTTGCCCATTACAGTCTGCTAGGTGGATATTTAGTGAACTGACCTAGCTATCTTGAGTGTACACTACTCCCAACAGTACCACTTGTGTTTGAACATCAGCATGTTGGTTTGTTTGGTCAGCTGATTACTGCAGAGCTGAGGAGTCCAAAGCTATGGGTTCTTATCAAAGTGTGAGCCAGCTACCATGAAAAGCACCTCCTCCAACAATGACGCCACCCCAGAAATCATTTCTGATGACATCTGTCTCAGCTCTCCACGCATATGAAGCTGAAGACCTAAGGGATACTTGGCAAAGGCACATGGCTGCCCTACCATCATTGACTGAGAAATACAAAACTAAAGCAAAGAACCCTCTCAAACGCAAGTTCCTCCAAGGATGAGTCTGTAGCTCATTTCCATGGATCTAAGCCACGCGGTGCTTCAGATCATGAGTCATAATCGGTCATAACTCTAGTGAAGCATCTCAGGTTCAGACCTGAAGGACATGGTTTATATATCGAGCATTCTTCATATTTGGGGTCTAAGGATTTGCTGGAGTTCAAAAGCTATTATTAAGCAAAAGGACTGAATCCTTCCACTTTAACCATTTAACATCTTTGACTCAGGATCAGAGTTCACTTGTAATTAGTAATTTGGAAATTCCAACCTGACCAAGATGGCACGAGTTTAGAGGAGCTAATTTACACAAAATGATTGCCAAGCTGTTTCTCAACTAGTTAACCAAAACAGAAGGAGTTGGGGGGGTCATTAATATCTACAAATAAACTAGCAGCTTTTAAATAAGTTTTCGTTGGTTTGGTTTTGTTTGGTGGCCTTTGCTTGCTGGGTGAGAAATTAGTACCTCTCCTTACAGATGTCTGACTTTACTACGCCTCCCAGCCCACCCACTCCGCCGCCAAGTCTATCCCGGAACGCCATTAGGATGGGGTAAACAGAGACTGATTATCTGGAAATAGCCCTTGTTTTCTGCAAGTGAAAAGGCAACAAGTGTCCTTTAAAGGAGAGCACTGAACAAAACGCCCAGACCTCTACGGGCCGGTTTCCAAACTAGCTGCACTGGGGGTTTTCCCAAACACAGGAGTCCCTTACACCCAGTGCGCCTGGCTACCCTCGGCATGCCCCGGGTGTGCGGGGAGGAGAAGCAGGCGGGTCAGAAAAGGCTGCGGGGCAAAGCCCACAAGTGGGCTTCGGAGCCAGCGACAAGGGCGTGATGCTCCACAAAGTTCTCGTACGCCCGAGGAGGGAGACCCAGGGAGAACTGTGGGTTTTCCTTTGACTGCAGATCCGACGCCCGCCTCGGGAGACTGAGGGACTTTCAGTCAGATCCCCAAACCCCAAACGTTCCCAGAGGGCGCCCCGCCGAGGAAGGCGCCCTCGCCTCCACGCGCCCTTGGGCAGGTGGTGCCAGCCCTGGTGGAGGAGGTGCCGGGCGCCACGGAGCTCGCGTCTCCTCCCGACCCAGGGGCCCGCCGGCGTCTCCCCCACCCCGCTTGGGTCCCCGGAAAGAAAGAGTCGCACCGACCGTGGAGCCCCGGCGGGCGCAGACGG